CGGCAGAGTTTGAGGGCTAGGCTGGAATTATATATTATATATAAGATATAAGATATACGTAATATATTTATTTTTTTTTTTTTTTTTGGAGACGGAGTCTCGCTTCTGTCACCAGGCTGGAGTGCAGTGCGCCAAATGCATGCTCACTGCATCAGCTCCGTGTCCTGGCGTTCACACCGATTTCCTGCCTCGTCAGCCTGTTCCAAGTAGCGTGGGACTAAGGTGCCCACCACTACGCCTGGCTAATTTTTTTCTGTATTTGTTAGTTAAAGACGGGGTTTCACCGTATTAGCCAAGGATGGTCTCTCGATCTCCTGATCTCATGATCTGCCTCGCCTGGCCATTCCAAGAGTGCCGAATTACAGCGTGTAGCCACGGCGCTGCCTAGCCTGATTTCATTGACTAGTTCGGGAATGCCATGCGGGCTGGTGGGAGGGGGCATCTGTGAGTGTCTCCTGGCAATGGGTGCCCTTTAGTGAGACCCTGCCAAGGCCTGTTGATCCCAGGGGCTCTTGGCTCTGTTCTTGTTTGAGGATTGGTTCATATCTCTACGGCACAGTTCCCTGGCGTAGCAAGGGGAAAAAACACAATCTTCCACTCTGCTCTTTTGGGGCATCTTGTAATCTCTGTTCTCAAGTGCATGGTTGGCAACGGCTTCAAGCAGGCATCTGGGGGGCGGACTTTCCTGTTCACTGGAAGCAATGGTTGGTAGATAAGGGCGTTTTATCTTTGAGCACTCGCTGCATAGAAGAAGCAGCTTGACACCTGCGTTTCCTGATTGCTCAGCCTTGGTCTCTGGCTTTAGTCCAGCAGTGTGGGGGTGAGAGCTGAGGAGTAATGCGGCATTGGAATTTGTTAGGTGGGACATGCCTGGATTCTGTGGGGTGCGGGTGACATGGCTTCCAGGTTAGCAGTATTCAGTGCACTTCTAAGTGGGAGGCCTATCCCTGGCTTGGAAAATGTTAGAAACCATGTTTCGGGGCAGTAAATTCTTCAGCAAGCTCCAGTGCACTTGTAGGGGTGACCTCCAGAGGTGGGTGGTCTGAGGTTGTAGAGCCTTAGTCTTCTGGGGAACAAGCGGGCTGGGGAGGGCTAAAGTGGTGGTGTCCCGGTAGCTAGCAGACGCCAGCAGGCACGGGGTGGGCGTTGTGGGCCACCATGTGGTGGTTCTGTGCATTCTGTCTGAGGACCGAGACAGGGCAGGTGAAGGTGCAGGGAGCCTAAGTGGACAGAAAGCGCGGCGAGGACTGGATTGTGGCCTAAGGTACAGGACCAAAGACCAGGCGAGGCGGGCTTGAGTCGCGTTGGGTCTCTACCATCACTGTAGTATTAGTCCCCTTGTTGGGATCTTTGGACTGTGTGGTAGGTGTTGGTGTGGGAGCAGCAACTAACTGGCTGGAGACAGGCCAGGGACCCTTGGGATCAACTTTTAGTTTCTAAAAGGGGTGGGCTTACTCCAGCATCTTGAGAAGTGCTAGTGTTCTTGAGCAGCAGCCAATTAGAGTCTGTGCCTTTGGGCCCTTGTTATCGCAAAATAAGCGACAACTGTCTCGGTCCACAGGTGCTGCAGGTTTGTGTTAGGATGTTTTTCTTCTCTGCACCCAGTCCCCATTTAATCTTCCTGATCTCAGCTCACTGCAACCTCCGCCTCCCGGGTTCAAGCGATTCTCCTGCCTCAGCCTCCTGAGTAGCTGGGACTACAGGCACCCACCACAATGCCTGGCTCATTTTAAAATTTATTTTATTTTTATTTTTAGTGAAACACGGTTACAACATGTGAGCCAGGATGGTCTCGATCTCCTGACCTTGTGATCCACCTGCCTCAGCTTCCAAAAATGCTAGAATTATAGGCGGGAGCCACTGCACCCAGCCTCCTTGAGCTATTTTAACCTTTAAGATAGTAATACATTTGGCTGGGAGCCGTGGCCTGTCATCCCAGCACTTTGGGAGGCCGGCTGGCGGATCACCTGAGGTCTGGAGTTCCAGCCTAGCCAACATGGCGAAACCCCGTCTCTACCAAAAATACAAAAATTAGCCAGGCGTGATGGTGGGCGCCTGTAGACCCAGCTACTCTGGAGGCTGAGGCAGGAGAATTGCTTGAACCCAGAGGCTGAGGTTGGAATGAGCCGAGATCACACCACTGCACTCCAGCCTGGACGACAGTGAGATAAAAGGAAAACAATCTAGCAAGGTTGTGTGTTTGAATGTGAAGTAAAATGGTAGCACTAAGTTTTCTCTCTGAGGAATTGATGTAAAGTCTTAGCCCTGGCCACTGCCTAACCCTGCATTTTGCTTCAAATGCTATCATTGCTGCTGCTTCAAGTATCAGCAAGAAAGTTTACCTTTAAAGATATGGGGACTTTCAAATGGAGGTGACCGTCTCACTACCACTGCTACTTCATCACTGTAGGGGCAGAACACACCTCTTAGCATTCCTTCACAAACTGTAAGGTCCTTCGGAATCCCCTAGGGGTCTTGTTAACAAGCAGGTCTGAGGTGAGACTGAGGTACTGCATTTCTAGCAAGGCCCCAGGCGATATTCAGGACTTCCGGTACATGGATCCACTTTCAGAGGCGGAGTCCTAGAGTAGTGGTTCCCAGCCTTGGCTGGAAATTAGAACCTCTCAGGGAACTTTTAAAAGTACTGATGTTCTGGTTCTGCCAGAAAACATTAATATAAGTCAGTTAAACCAGTATGAGTTGTTAAAACATGTACATTTGTTATTTCTAAAAACAAACCCAAATAAGGTGTAATTCAGCTTGTCAGTTCAAGGATTTTTGGTTTTAAAGAGACATTACTTTGGCAGAGAGATTTAAAGTTTGCTGGCACAGGAAGCATTGAATATAAGTGTTCTAGAATAAGCCCGTCATATACCTTTAATGAGTGTTAACCCTGCTTTGCAAAGAACTTTCTATATCTCAGCTAATCCTTATACCAACCATCCATTAAGAGATGTGTCCCCAATTTACAGATGAGGAAAAATTGAGTTTTCTATCCCCTTTCCATGTCTGCTGTTGCCTTCTAGGCCCTTACCGTTTCTCCTTGCTTAGACCTAACTGACTTAGGTTTCTAGGTTCCTTCTGCTCCATCTCTTCACTTTTCTTTTTTGAGATGGAGTCTTGATCTTGGCTCACTGCAACCTCTGCCTCCGGGTTCAAGTGATTCTTCTGCCTCAGCCTCCTGAGTAGCTGGGATTACAGGTGCCTGCCACCACGCCCAGCTAATTCTTGTATTTTTAGTAGAGACAGGGTTTCACCGTGTTGCCCAGGCTAGTCTCGGACTCCTGACCTCAGATGATCTGCCCAGCTCTGCCTCCCAAAGTGCTGGGATTACAGGCATGAGCCACCACGCCCAGCCTCGATGCACTTTTCATCCTGTTCCCAGAATTGCCTTCTAGAAACAATTTGGTGTGTGTGCCTTGCAGACCTATGCTGGTTCTCTGTTATCTACAGGATAAAGTCCAGACTACGCAGTGGGGCGCTGGGACACCCTCACTGACCCCACGAGGGTACAGATGCTCCTCAGCTTACAATGGAGTTACATCCTGGTAGACCCATTATAAGCTGAAAATAGCATAAATCAAAAATAAACACATCTAATGCACCTAACCTACTGAACACCATAGTTTAGCCTAGCCTACTTTACACGAGCTGAGAACACTCACAGTAGTCTACAGTTGGGCAAAATCACCTAGCAGCACGGTCCACTCTGGATGCCCGATGTTCACCCTTGTGATAGAGTGGATGACTGGGAGCTAGCATCGTGAGAGAGTAGCGCATCACATATCGCTAGTCCAGGAAAAGATCAGAATCTAAAATTGGAAGTATAGTTTCCATTGAATGGGTATTGCTTTCACACCATTGTAAAGTTGAAAAATTCTAAGTTGAGCCTTGGAAGATCAGGGACCGCCTGTACTTGAGTCCTCCAAGTCTGACCTGGCCCTTCATGCTGCAGTTTGCTGTGTTGGTCCCTCACCCTGGAGCATCTCCTTAGCCATTTGAAATTTTATTCCTCCTTCATTCTCAGCGTTTCTAATTGCTGAGTAATGAAGTGCCATTTCATTGACTCATTTTGTGGGGAGATGTGAGGAACCCATGTACATGTGGATTCCATGGGGGTTTGAAATGCTCCGATGCCACTTGATAGATAAAAATGTTCTGTGAGTTTAGGGAGCTGAGCCACACTGAGCAGAGCCAGCCCCTTTGGGGAACATAGGGAGACTTTGGCATCATGAAGTGATGGAGGGAGGAATTTGGGTTAAAGAACAGAATGCTCGGTTTGTTTCAAGAGGGTGTGTGAGTTGGGGAGCATGGAGGGGAAGATGCCTCTTCCTGGCCTCTGACCCCCAGTGGATCACACAGAGGGTGGACTGGTACAAGCTGAGAGTGTGCTCCTCTTGGAGGGCAGGGAAGGTAGGGGAGATGGCTTCGGCCCTACCCTGTTGACTGTCTTGCATGTGCAGTTGCCAGTATCCTCCTACCTGGCTCTGTAACATTCCTCCTCCCCACTCGCCTGCTCTCCCCAGGTGTAATTACTTCAAGCCTGCAGGATGGCAATCCAGTTCCGTTCGCTCTTCCCCTTGGCATTGCCTGGGATGCTGGCACTTCTCGGCTGGTGGTGGTTTTTCTCTCGTAAAAAAGGCCACGTCAGCAGCCATGATGAGCAGGTGGAGGCTGGTGCTGTGCAGCTGAGGGCTGACTCTGCCATCAAAGAATCTCTTCCCATGGAAGACGTCTGTCCCGAAGTAGTGTCCGTGCCCCCCAGCGTCACAGAGCCGCCAGAAAAGGAACTGTCCACCGTGAGCAAGCTGCCTGCAGAGCCACCAGCATTGCTCCGGGCACACCCACCTCGCCGAAGATCAGAGTCCTCGGGCAGTCTTCCTAACACCATAGACATGAGATTGCGACCAGGAACACGCAGAGACAACAGTGCAAAGCTGGAGCTAGCCCTGACAGGTGGTGAAACCAAATCGATTCCTCTAGAGTGCCCCCTTTCATCTCCAAAGGGTGTACTATTCCCCCACAAATCAGCTGAGGTGTGTAAGCAAGAGTCCCCGTTCAGTAGGGTGCCAGGGAGGGGCCAGCCAGGCTACCCTGCAGCGCCCCCAGAGAAGCATGGCTCTGGGGAGAGGGCAAGAGAGACAGGTGGGGCCGAAGGGACCGGTGATGCTGTGTTGGGGGAAAAGGTGCTTGAAGAAGATCTATTGTCTCAGGAGCATGTCTTGGAATTGGAGAACAGCAAGGCCCCCAACCTAGCCTCTTTAGAAGGGGAAGAAGAGAAGGGGAAGAGCAGCTCATCCCAGGTGGGGCCGGTGCAGGAGGAAGAGTATGTAGCAGAGAAGTTGCCAAGTAGGTTCATCAAGTCGGCTCACACAGAGCTGCCAAAGGACGATGTGGCACCAGCACCCCCAATCACAGATGCCAAAGCCCAGGACAGAGATGTCGAGGGAGAACTGGGCAATGAGGAGAGCTTGGATAGAAATGAGGAGAGCTTGGATAGAAATGAGGAGAGCTTGGATAGAAATGAGGAGGGCCTGGATAGAAATGAGGAGGGCTTGGATAGAAATGGGGAGGGCTTGGATAGAAATGAGGAGATTGAGCAGGCTGCCTTCCAGATAATCTCCCAAGTGATCTCGGAAGCAACCGAACAGGTGCTGGCCACCGCAGTGGGCAAGGTTACAGGTTGTGTGTATCAGGCCAGTCAGCTCCAAGGGCAGGAGGAAGAGAGCTGTGTCCCAGTTCACCAGCAAACTGTCTTGGGCTCCGACACTGGGGAACCTGCCACAGCAGAGGCAGCTGCTGCCCCGTCGGATGCTGCCCTCCCCTCGCCAGGCCTACCAGCAGAGGGCTCAGCACCACCAAAGACCTACGTGAGCTGCCTGAACAGCCCTCTGTCCAGCCCCATCAAGGACAGTAAACCAAAGATCTCTGCACACCACATCTCTTTGACCCCCTGCCTGCCACCGACCACTCCTGGTGAAGAGTCGCCGGACCGGGCGGGCATCCTGGTGGAGGATGCCACATGTGTCACCTGCATGTCAGACAGCAGCCAAAGTGTCCCTTTGGTGGCTTCCCCAGGACACTGCTCAGATTCTCTCAGCACTTCAGGGCTTGAAGACTCTTGCACAGAGACCAGCTCAAGCCCCAGGGACAAGGCCATCACCCCGCCACTGCCAGAAAGTACTGTGCCCTTCAGCAATGGGGTGCTGAAGGGGGAGTTGTCAGACTTGGGGGCTGAGGATGGATGGACCATGGATGTGGAAGCAGATCATTCAGGAGGTAGGAGGGTCTCGGGTTCATTTAGAGGATGGGGCGCTCCCAGTATTTCTTGGAGAAAGGCCGCCAGTCTGCCTCTCCCTTCTGCTACTTGTGCAGCAAAGTCATGGTGCTCTTCAGCTCTTTGTCCCAACCTGCAGAGAGCTGGACACGGCATAAAGCTGGTGGGTAACTGAGCAGTTAGATTGCCCTGAAGCCCCAAGCCTTGGGAGCTGTCACTTGGTTCCTCAGCCGGTGACCTTCCCCAGTGAGCCCTTCCCAAGGAACCAGCTCCAAGTTGGGCTCACTGATTAACATTAGTGTGCCTTTTTTTCTTTTTTTAAAAAAATTATTATTTGGTGCAGATGGAGTCTTCCTGTGTTGCCCAGGCTGGTCTCGCACTCCTGGGCTCAAGTGATCCTTCCGCCCTCAGCCTCCCAGAGGGCTAGGATTATAGGTGTGAGCCACCATGCCCAGCCCATTTTTTTTCTTTTTTTAACACTAACCTCTGTGTGTGTGTGTGTGTGTGTGTGTGTGTGTGTGTTTTAATGGAGAGGCCTCCTTAGCTTTACTCCCTTGAGTGCCAAGTATAGGTGTGAGTGTTTTGAATGGTTTATTTCCTTTTAATCATGTGCTTGTTCCCATGTCTTCACCTGCTTTCCTTCTCCAGAAGCTCTTACAGGGTAAGTGCCCAAAGAATGGCCACAGCTTTAAATACTTGTGGGAGGCTCGAGCTTCCTGAGTTGTCGCTGTCACCTTTGCAGAGAGCCTCAGCCATTTTCTTTCTGTGCAGTTGCAGCTCCACCCCGGGAAAGCGGGGCACTTTGATAACGAGGTGTCCTGGGTTTTTCGAGTGCTGACCCCAGCGTAGACAGTTCAGACCGCTAACTTACAGGTCAGCAGCTCCTGACCCTGCTTCTGCAGCCGCCCCAGGGTGTTTTCATTTATCTCATGGAGAGAGGCCACGAATATCCCAGTGCCTCTCTGACGTTTGTCCTGGAGCCATTCCCTCCCATTTCAGCTCCAGGAAGGTTGGGAATCTTTATCGGGAATTTTACTACTTTCGGCAGCATCTCGTTTGTACCACACACTACGTTTTGTCACCTCCAAGATGCTGTTGCGACACTACTGTTTTTATGTACCTTGGAAAGACAAAAGTGCTGCCAGTCATGATTATAGAAGGCCAGCTACTATATGATGCATCCTAATCTCTGGATGTTTAAATGTTTCTTAAAATACTGCATCTTAAAATGGGTGGTTTTTGTTTTATTTATTTTTTAAGAATAAAGGAGTTTCCCTTTGCTTACTGCCCCTCAGCTGAATTAACAAGCCCCACAGCCTTGTCTGCCTACTCTAGATGGATAGTAGTAGCTACTCAGACCTGTTGAGTTTAGGCTCGAACCTAAGCCATGGTGATGGGCAGGGAGGTTTAGAGATGGCGGGTGGAAATGAGGTAATACTGTCCACGAGCATGCAGTGGGTGCCAAGCACCAGGGTAGTGCCTCGCATGCACCCTCATGTCAGCCCTGCTTTGCGTGTGAGAAAGTTGAAGCTGAGAGGGGTCCAGGGACCACCCCACTGAGGGAGCTGGCAGCTGGCCTTGGAGTGCAGCCTGCTAGAGTCCTGGTGTGGTTCTGAGCCACTGCTGGGCACCATTGGGATGGCAGGTGTTAGCCAGTCCCATTCTGTGGGACAGAGGCTGGGGGCTGTGAGTGAGCAGAGCTCCCTGCCCCCTTCCCCAACCCCTGTCAGCCTGTTACGCTTCCCTAGCCAAGCAGTCTTCCCCTAGAAGGGGTACTTTTCCCTGCATGAATCCTGTTCCAAGCGCCTAGGTTAAGGGGGGATGTCACTTTGAAGGTGATTCTTCCTTAGCTGGGAGCAGGATCTCTTGGGCCTTAGTTCTCTGCATCCAGTGTATGGGTTACTTGGCAAAGGATTATGCCCAGGGTTTGGAGAAACCATGTGGAAGGTAACCTAGTTGGTAGACTCTCAGGAGTGATCTCTTTCTGGTGATTGAGTCATCCATATTTAAGCCAGGGCCACTTCTCTTGAGCTGATCTGGACCCTCTTTTTTGTGACAGTCCCTTTGGCACACTCTTGAGCGAGAGTGAAACAGCCCAGGTCGGGAGCAGAGTCCTTTTCCCATTGGGTTTTCTTGGCCATGAGCTTTGGCTCCGTCTTTTGACCAAGGGAGTATTTGAGCCAGAAGAGTGTTCAGAGTTGCACGAATCAGGCCTAAGCAAAGGGAAAGGAGACTCTCCTTTTTTTGTCCACATATGGCAGAGGAACGAGCAGGTCCCCGCTAGGTATAAGAATGGGGCCCTCAGGCAGGCCAGTGAGGACTTTGTCTAGCTCTGCTTGGCTGAAGACCTGTACCTGTGACCCTGGAACTGGGCCCTGGGGACAGGAGACCGACCCTTGGACTGAGAGGGTAGGATAGTTGGAAGGGTGTCAAGGTGTTTGCAGTCCATCGGTCTGGCTCTCAGGACCATGTGGACCTCAAGCATGTCTCCTCCCCTGCCCTGTGGGCTCCCCTTCCCTGGGCACAGTCTGTCCCTTCCCAGTTCACCACTTGTGTCTCTGCTCCAGCAGCTGTGGCTGGGTGCGGCTCCCAATTAAGCAAGTGGGACTGTAAGTGGCAGGCTAAAATTAGGTGTATCGACACCCCCAGTCCTCCTTTCATTGGGGTTGTTCTGAGCCTTCTAGACTGTAAGTTGACAGTCACCTGCCAAGCTTGAGGAGCGGGTGTGGGGCAGGGCCTCCCGGGAATGTGAGTTTGGGAAGTTCTGGGTTACTGGCTGCTCTGAGCTGGGGTCTGTGTGTGTGCGCGCCTGCTGCTTCCTCCCCTGCAGGTTCTGACAGGAACAGCATGGATTCCGTGGATAGCTGTTGCAGTCTCAAGAAGACTGAGAGCTTCCAAAATGCCCAGGCAGGCTCCAACCCTAAGAAGGTCGACCTCATCATCTGGGAGATCGAGGTGCCAAAGGTAGGGGTGGAGTCCCCCAGGCTGGTTCCATGGTAACCCGCAAAGCTCCCTGGGGCCAGGGCCGTTAGACCTGGGGGAGGGAGCTGGGAGAGGGACAGTAAACCAGAAGGAGCCCTGGGTCAGCCAAAGGCTGCGGGGAGAGGACACACTACACTTTGCCAAGGCTCAGAGAGCTTCCTGCAACATGGAATTCCTCTGGCTGCTTCCAGGAGCATCTTATTCTTGTACTTCTCAAACTTGCAGGCCTGTGTGTCTCTCCCTTGGGGGTGGTTCTTGCATATTCTGGGGCTGAGATCTATTTGGAAAAAAAACACTGAGGCCGTGGGGGCCAGCCAGAATCCCTTCACTGAGCTCTGCTCAAGTGCTCCAACGTAAAGTGTATTTTATAATTGAGCAAAGCATAAATCTATATTTTAGAGAACTTGAAAAGTATAGAAATATATGCAGAAAATAAAAATCAGCTCTAATCCTACCCTTGAGAGTGACTGTGAAAGACTTTTATTTCCTTCTCATCTGGCACCCTATGGTTTTTAAACAAAACTGAGATTATGTCACTTTAATTAATACTTTAAATATTTAACAATTTAATTTTTGTGTGTTATTCTTTGAAAATGTGATTGTAACTGCATTATTCATTGTGTGAATGTCAGTTTACTTCATCAGTCCCCCATTCCTGAGTGCTTAAGTGCTTTCGAGCTTCTTGCTGTTAGAACTTACAACATACTAGCTTGATCTTGATGTTTGTCTCTGGGGCTCGGAAATAATTTGTCAGACCGCATTCTCCCAGAGCCCTGGGCTCTGTGCTCGGGTGGAGATTTGACTTGGTCTGAACTCTGGGTCAGAGTGGCTGTTTTGACCCTGGGTTGCCAGCTCTCTTGGTGGTTTCCTCCCTGGAGGGTCCTTACCCATCCTGCCTGCTTTTCCTTCAGTGGTTACAAAGGGCGTGACAAGAAAGGCTGTGCCTGAGGAGGGACCGTGTCCCCAGTAGCTCCTCTGGGAGGGGGTCGTTGGGGGTTGTGTGGGAGCCCGTCTTACGTAAGGGTTAAGTTTGGCTCCTTCTGTCCGCCTTGAACTCTGGCGCACTGGGGACTTCTGCGTGCCTTCTGCTCTGCAGGCTCCAATCTGCTGTCACTTGGCAGTGGGAGCCCAGGGTTCTTAGACCTTCATTTTCAAATCGAGCCCCTTTATCTTTGGATCTGAGTAGACCAGAGGGAGAGGGGCACGAGAAATTGTGTGCTGGCAAAACAACTTAGCATGGGTTTTAGAGGAGAAGATGCTGCTCCCTTTGCAGCTTTCTGGGTCTGGGCCACATTTTTGGGATGAAATGGGAACTGCTTGGTCCTGGAGCCAGACTGCCTGGTTCAACTTCCTGGTTAGCAGCTGTGTGACCTTAAGGTAGTTCCTTAGCCTCTCTGGGCTTGTTTCCCCATCTACAGAATGGTGATAAAGTTATGTGTTTCATAGGTACTATGAGTAAATGTAAGTGCTTAGCATAGTCCTGGAAAATAAATGCTGACATGGTAACAGCTAATATGTTTGAGCGTGATCTTGTGTAAAACAGAAGTAGGTCTTTGGGTGTCCAGGGAATTGGTTTCCCGTTAATCCTCTCAACTCTTTTTCTCTTTCTGGAAGCACTTAGTCGGTCGGCTAATTGGCAAGCAGGGGCGGTATGTGAGTTTTCTGAAACAAACATCTGGTGCCAAGATCTACATTTCAACCCTGCCTTACACCCAGAGCGTCCAGATCTGCCACATAGAAGGTCAGTAGCATCTGCTGCTTGTATTGCCTCTTACCTGAAATATTAAATAGAAGTGACTAGCATCTGAGTTTCAATTGCTATCTTTTTGGAATAGGAAACCCTACTTCTCATCCCAGGGAAGGGAGCCTTGGGTGTCTTCCCTGCAGCCTTTCCCCCATTTCAGGTGCCTGCGGGAAACTTAGGTCCCTCCCTACTCTGATCTTTGGCCAGGAGAAGGGTGGGTGCTTGGTTGGGCGGGGCCTGGGTCCTGGGTTCACAGTGCCCACCACCCCATAAAGCCTCCTCTCAAAGCAGAAGTGCCCTGTGTACAATTCCCCTTTGGTGTTTTCCCAGCTGCCTACCTCTTCCTGTTGCATTGAAAGCGTGGATCATAATGGCAGAGGTATCATTTGAAAGGCTTCGATGCCTTTCTTCCTAAAGCAGAGCTTAAGTGTTTTGGTACTTCAGAGATGCACTTGAACTCTATGCAGAGTCCAGTGGAGTAGGGTATGTGGCTGTGTTTTTGTGAGTGTGTGTGTGACTTTCCTCTTACAGTGATTGTGTGTCCTGCACCCATCCTCTATTTAGGCTCTCAGCATCATGTAGACAAAGCGCTGAACTTGATTGGGAAGAAGTTCAAGGAGCTGAACCTCACCAATATCTACGCTCCCCCATTGCCTTCACTGGCGCTGCCTTCTCTGCCAATGACATCCTGGGTGAGCGTGCTACTGGGTGATCCGGACTTCTTGCCTCTTTCCCCAGAACCTACCCCAAACAAGAAACTCCCCAGACCTCAGGCTAAGAAGGCCAAGTGCACATGAGTGCCTGTGCCCTCTCCCCTCTGGCCTCCACTGGTTGGTTCTGCTATGGGATTGTGTTCTGGGGACAGGGGTTAGGTGGTGATAGTCCTGACAGGAAACCAGAGGCCTCTTGGTCCCCACGTGGGAGGACCACTTTCCTTGGCTCTGCTGCCTGGGCACCTTTTAAGTTTTCTAGGCATTTGCTTAGAAAGGATGGAGTTCAGCCAGGAGACTGGGTGTGTCCAGGGTCGCCATTCAACACCTGAGACCTGAGTGGGACTAGTATCATGGGTTTGGATGGCGCTTGTTCTTTCTTCTGGTTGAGTCAGGCCTTAGCAGTGGCCCTAGTGAAGGATCTCCTTCCCCTTCCCCCTCCCCAGGAGGTGCCTAAATTACAAAGAAGAGTGAATACTTCCTACCAGGCCTGGAAGCCCAGTAACTCTTTGGAGGTTGCTTTTGGCAGAGGGAAGAGGGCTCCGGGGCTCCTGTGTGCGGCTGACTGCAGGGTCTCTCAGGGCCGTCACCATGTCCTGCAGTATGGCTCTGACCCTAGTAGGGCCTCATCTCACTGGGAGTAGAATTGCAGAGTTCTGGGGACCAAAGACTACATTTTACACAGATGGGCTTGACTGTGCTGCTCCAAGGAAATTGCCCTCCTGGGTGTTTTTTGTTTTTTTTTTTTCCTGTTTGTGTGTTTTTTTAAAGGATGATAGGCATTTCAATTTTGTGTCTTCCCCTTTGCAAAGGCCCTTGGACTGGAGGGAAAGGATCGGGATGTCTTTTTCCTGTGGATATTTGAGAGTGGGCTGAATACCACTTTATGCTTTATTCCTGAATCAAGAGTTTTTTCCCAGGAGGCTCGGTCCTAGACTCTCTCTTTTTTTCTTTTCTTTTTTTTGAGACAGAGTCTTACTCTGTTGCCCAGTCTGGAGTACAGTGGCATGATCTTGACTCACTGCAACCTCTGCCCACCAGGTTCAACCGATTCTCCTGCCCCAGCCTCCTGAGTAGCTGGGATTATAGGTGTGCTCCACCATGCCCGGCTAATTTTTGTATTTTTAGTAGAGATGGGATTTCACCACATTTGCCAGGCTTGTCTTGAACTCCTGACCTCAGGAGGGTAAGCAGCAGGAGGGAGAGCAAATAGGAAGCAGACTCTGCTAGACCTTGACCACGGACCTGACCTGAGGCCACTGCTTGCTCTTGGGAAGGCAGCGTAGATGCTGTCAGATCATAGGCTCCTGGGGTCAGCTGCCAGTCCACAGGAGTTGGCTAAAGGGCCTGAGGGCCTGCCTACTGCTTATTTTCAGGAGTCCTGTTCTCAGTGGCCACCTCATTCCTGTGTTTGCCCTCCCTGGGTCTTACAGATTCATCAATGGAAGTGGGAGGGAGGGCACCGCTGGTAGGTGGACCCTGCCCAGGCCTGTGCAAGGCCCAGCACTACCTCTGCAGTTGCTTCTTGGTTGCCCCGTATCTGTGGGACCCTCCCTGCCTGGCCCTGAGGTGAGACTGTCCCTAATGGCTGCTCGTGGTATTGCAGGACAACAGCCACAGGGGTGTTGCACATTTTCTATTGTTAAGTTAGTCCTTCAGCCTCTGCCTTCTGGGTGCCATGTTGTCTTGAGTTGCCCTTTTCAAAGGTGTGCCAGCCCAGAGACTTGCCCTTGGGCCTCGGGACTTATTCAAAGATGAGATGAGAGGGATTGTTTCAGTGACCGCTGCCCCTTCCCCTCTATACAGCTCATGCTGCCTGATGGCATCACCGTGGAGGTCATTGTGGTCAACCAGGTCAACGCCGGGCACCTGTTCGTGCAGCAGCACACACACCCTACCTTCCACGCGCTGCGCAGCCTCGACCAGCAGATGTACCTCTGCTACTCTCAGCCTGGAATCCCCACCTTGCCCACCCCGGTGGAAAGTAAGCAGCGCCCTGAGGGTTCGGGAAGGGGGACCCCTGGGGTGGCCTGTTCTGCCCTGGATCCTGATCAGGAGGAGGCTGTTCTGGGATCCTTCATGGAAGCAGCATTCTTCAATTCTTGCCATTGTTATGGAGCTGGGGTGGGTTTCCTGGCAAGGCAGAGCTGGGGTTTCCACTGGCTGGCAGAGTGATGGGTGTTGGAGTAGGGTTTTGACACAGGGATTCAGATCCCAGCTCTGCCACTAATTTTTTTTTAATTTTTTCTTTTTTTTCCCTCAAAGCCAGTGTCACAGTATCTGCCACCTATTTATTATCTGTTAAAGGGGGTGATACCTACTTGTTCCAGAAATTAGTGTTGAATACTGTATGTGTTACATATAAAGCACTTGATGCATATACTGGTTACCGTGAAAAAATCCCTAAGTCCAACAAGCCTGTGCAGTGTGTTGGGTCATCTGTGTTTAACAGATGAGAAAACTGAGCCTCAAGTGACTTGCCCAAGTGACCAGGATCTGGGGTCTGAGCCCAGCCTTTGTCATTATTATCTTTGTTGTCCTTATCAGAGAGGATCAAATGTCAGAACATCACCCATTCCTCACCAGGGGCTGGCGGGGTCCCTCAGTGCAGTAGAAAACTTTTGAAGTGATCGGTAGCTTTTTGTGTGTTATTTTTTTCCTTTTGGAAGGATAAGGATTTAGTTTTCATCAGCTTCTCTAAAGTTGCCTTAACCCAGCAGTAAAGACTGAACTGGAGTCCGAGGGGTAACTGCCAGGGGTTCTCTCTAAGGGTCAGGACCCAGCACAGTCAGCCTCATGTCACACGTCCTCATCCTGGCCAGCCTGGGGCAGCTGTTGGGGTGCTGCTGGGGAACCTTTACCTCGTGGTCTCATCTGCTTCTGACCCACAGTGGGTTAGTGACCCCTTGATCCTGGGCGACTGCCCAGGTGCTCTCAGCACCTTCCAGAGGCAAAGGTTAGAAGAAGGGGGTTTAGGCCCAGGAGGCCCCTTCTGGTCAAGCTCTCCATCTGAGTTGTGGGCTGGAGCACACCCTAGGTACGAGGATGCCGAGATCTGCTGCACTTGATTTCTTCAGCGGCTTCCTCTTAAATGTAAGGCTGGCCCTGGCCCCCATTCCTGAGTGCTATGTTTACTTGGTTTATTCCTATTCATTTGTGTCCCTCTTGGGTCCCAGTAAGTTTTGGAGTAATGGATCTAGACTGAATGCTTTTCAGTCTAGATGGCCTTGGGGGCGGCACACTTGCTAGGCTGAACTTCTCACATCCAGGTTCTTCCGTCAGCTGGTCTTGGGCTTGGGGGAGGCTTTGCTTGGGGCCGGTTGCTGTTCCTGTCCCCTGCGCTGCGGAGGTGCAGGTCTCTGAGAAATAACGCAGGGAGGTGGGTAGTGGCCAGGTGGCCCTTGGTTCCCTGCCCTGGGCCAGGCGTTCCACACACTCCGCTCCCTGCCCTGCAGTAACGGTCATCTGTGCCGCCCCTGGTGCGGACGGGGCGTGGTGGCGAGCCCAAGTGGTTGCCTCCTACGAGGAGACCAACGAAGTGGAGATTCGATACGTGGACTACGGCGGATATAAGAGGGTGAAAGTAGACGTGCTTCGGCAAATCAGGTGAGCGGAGATGCCTCAGACAGGCCTACGCCCTGCTTGTCTGGGATGTGTGATCTCTGCATGGCTGGCTCAGTTGTGCCAGGGCTTGGGTGAGGGTTAATTCTTCTCTCCTGCTGCTTACTGTGTTTTAGCAGAGTCTGATAGAAACAAACTCCATTACTCGCTCAGCTAAACTGAGCTAGAAGAATATTGTGTCTTGTGGAAGAATCCTCAGCATCATCCTTCAAAAGGGAAGCTGGGCCAGGCGTGGTGGCCTGCTGCAAATCCCAGCGCTTTGAGAGGGTCACTTGAGCGCAGGAGTTCAGGCCCAGCCTGGGCAGTGTAGCAAGACCTCATCTCTACAACAACAACAAAAAAGGAAAAAAGTGAAGCGGGCTGCTTTTTAGGAATTTGCTGTAGGAAGTCCCTCTGAGGTCAGGCTTGCAGCAGGGCCGGCTCTCTGTGTTTGGGTGTGCCGTGAGCCGTGGCCTGCTGCGAAGTACGAACCCTCTGCTTCGCTGCATCCCAGGTTGTGGGCGTCACTGTACAAAGATGAATACTGGCTTGGAGTGGAGTCAGCCTTCATGTCCATGTTAAACTTGTTCCTTTCTTGCCTTCCCAGGTCTGACTTTGTCACCCTGCCATTTCAGGGAGCAGAAGTCCTTCTGGACAGCGTGATGCCCCTGTCAGGTAACAGCTGGGGCCTCTGGCTTGGGGGATTGTTGGGGACAGTTGTCGAGAGTAGGTCTTTCTCTCTCAGAGCCTCCGTTCTCACCGGGAGGACTTATGCTAATGTAGGTTGCTGCCACTCAAGAGCTTCTGATTGAATAGGTCTGGGCTTAGGCCCAGGAGCTTACATTGCTATCAAGTTCCCAGGTGAGACCAGTGCTGCTGATCCTTTGAGATCCACTGCTCTAGACTGTACTCAGACCTCAGGCACTGAAGGGCTTCCAACAAAGGCACTTTCCAGATTATAGTCCAGACCCAAAGTCTTAGCCCCGGTGGTAGAGGGTGTGCTGTACTGCTCAGCCAGGCCATAGCTCCACAGGACACAGTGGGGACACCCTATCTGGTGTCTTAGACTGTGAAAGCATTGTCAGAGGGAAGAGGACTGGCAAAATCTTGGGCAAATTGCTTAGCCTCAACTTTCACCCCAGAACATGGGAATGGTACCTGTCTTTGATGCTGGCTGTGAGAATTACATAAACCTAAGGTCTGGTGTGTAGAGGGTGATGAAATGGCAGCTGTTTATGGCTAGGAATTTTATATTTGTAGGTGATAGTTCATCCCATCCCATTCCCTCCCCAGGTTTGCCCCTTCTGATCTTCTTCTTGCTTGTCTTAAGCAATTAAATGCGTTAGAAATACTACAGTCTAGCTGGAGTCAGCTCAGAGGGAGCACTAGGGCAAGATCTTTGTTTTGCTTCTTTTATTGCTGTTGCCCCTCCTTCCTCTCTGCTTCTGTCCTTCTAAGCGATCTGTCCAGACCCAGCTGAAACTCTTTCTCCTTTGTAAGATTTTCCTAGATCTTCCTTGGTAAACCCCTGTCTCTCCCATCCTTACCACTGCTTGCCTTGGGTGTATTGTTCTGTGTTGACTTTTGTAATCCAGCAAAGCTGAATGCTGCCGCAGCGCCTTGCCCCCTCTGAGTGGCTGCCCTTGTTGGGCTGTGTGGCCAACTGCTTGGGTTTGATTCCCACCTTCTCCACTTGGGAACTGGTTGACCTTCGGGAATCCACCTTTGCCTCAGTGTTCTCTCCTGTGAAGTGGGGATAGCACTGCGTGTTACTAATTTGGTGGAAGAACACATACTATATGCTCTGCGTTGCCAGCACCCGAGTTGGTGGTGGTGGTGGTGGTGCTGCTGCTGCTGCTGCTGGTATTGGTGGTGATGTTGGTGGTGAAGGCAAGAGTTTCTGTCCGTCTGTTGTCTGTGCTCCAGTGGGCAACATGCCGCAGCGGCCCTGAGTTTATCCACTGGGAGTCGTATGGAGGCCTAGGCTCTGTCCCTGACCCGGGTGGATCTCCCCACTGCAGTCCCACAACATCTGAAGCATTCTACTTGGAATGCACCTGAAACTTATGTATATGACAAGGGTGCCTTGCCTCAGTGACAGACTTAAATGCTGCTTTTCCTTTTCCTCCTGAAGACGATGACCAGTTTTCACCTGAAGCAGATGCCGCTATGAGCGAGATGACAGGGAATACAGCACTGCTTGCTCAGGTGTGTGGTTGGTGGGGGTAGGGAAGGCAGGCTGGCTGGGGGAACTGACCTTTCAATGCCTTCTTTCCCGTAGCTTGGCCCTGGATTGACCAGTAGTATTTAAGGAAAGGTGCATGAAGTAGCTAATACTTGATGTTAGTCTGTTCTCACATTGCATAAAGAAATACCCGGGGCTGAATAATCTATAAAGGAAAGAGGTTTAATTGACTCACAGTTCTGCGGGCTTGGGGCGACCTCAGGAAACTTACAATCATGGCAGAAAGGGAAGAGGCACGTCTTACATGATGGGCAGGCAAGAGACAATATGTGAAGGAGGAACTGTCAGATACTTATAAAACCATCTGATCTCGTGAGAACTCACTATCACGAGAACAGCATGGGCACACTGCCTCATAATGCAATCACCTCCCACCAGGTCTTTCCCTCGAAACATGGGGATTATGGAGATTACAATTCAAGATGATATTTGAGTGGGGACACAAAACCTAACCATATCATACTCCCCCCTCCCCACTTCTTCAGGTGACAAGTTACAGTCCAACTGGTCTTCCTCTGATTCAGCTGTGGAGTGTGGTTGGAGATGAAGTAAGTTCTGCCCTTCTTTTCCTTCTGTGTTGCTGACCCGAAGTAATGGGTTGATTAAGAGCTGGTCCTGGGATTTGTTTCCTCTTGAGTTAATCAGAGGATATAACTGTAGACAAGCACCTCCCAGGGGACACTTTGGATATCCTGATTGGGGGTGGTGGTGCCAGTGTCCTCTAGTGAGTAGAGGCCAGGGATGCCACGAAACATCCCATAGTATTCAGGACAGCGCCCCACAGCAAAGAATTATCCAACCCCAAATGTCAGTAGTGCCAAGGTGGAGAAACCCTGTGTGAGAGCTTCTGGGACCTTCCGTAGGTTGGGTTTTTCTGTCTTCTATCTTATGGTATGAAAGCTTAGATTTCTTCAGCATATTAAAAAGCCTATCCTGGCCAGGTACAGTGGCTCACCCCTGTAGTCCCAGCACTTTGGGAGGCCGAGACGGGCAGATCACTTGAGGTTAGGAGTTTGAGACCAGCCTGGCCAACATGGCAAGACCCCCATCTCTACTAAAAATACAAAAATCTGCTGGGTGTGGTGATGCACACCTGTGATCCCAGCTGCTTGGGAGGCTGAGGCAGGAGAATCATTTGAACCTGGGAGACAGAGGTTGCAGTGAACCAAGATTGTGCCACTGCATTCCAGCCTGGGTGACAGAGCAAGACTCTGTCTCAAAAAAACAAAAACAACAACAAAAAACACCTATCCTCATGCCACAGCAGCCAACAGAACACTTAAATAAATGTTCCTGTTGGCTAGAGCACAAGCCATGTCCCCCACCCTGTTACTCGTTTTATTTTCTTTTTGGAGACAGAGTCTCACTCTTGTTGTCCAGGCTGGAATGCAGTGGCGTGATCTCGGCTCATTGTAACCTCCGCCTCCGGGGTTCAAGCGATTCTGCCTCAGCCTCAGTAACTGGGATTACAGGCATGTGCCACCACGCCTGGCTAATTTTTGTATCTTTAGTAGAGATGGGGTTTCACCATGTTGGCCAGGCTGGTCTTGGACTCCTGACCTCAGGTGATCCACCTGCCTCAGCCTCCCAAAATGCTGGGATTACAGGCACGAGCCACCAAGACTCCAGGCTACACTGTTAGTCTTGTACATCTCTTGCCTGCAGTGGCAACTGGGGAGGGGAGAGCTCATGTTGGCTTGGGAGATGGCCCCAAGGTGCCATGGACAAAGCTTTAAGGGAACTTTCTTTTCTAGGTGGTGTTGATAAACCGGTCCCTGGTGGAGCGAGGCCTTGCCCAGTGGGTAGACAGCTACTACGCAAGCCTTTGACCCCCGATTCCCCATGCTGCTTCCTGAGAGTCTTTTTTTGCACTGTTGAAACCGGGCTTGGCACTCAAGTCAAAGATTAACATCAGAATAACAAACATTGCCCTCTCCAGAAAGTCCTTTCTTCCTCCATACTGTAGTCCTATTGAGAAGACGTTTCGTCTCTGAGAAAAAAGGATGAAACCGTGGGTTCTCTTCTCAAAGCTAAAGGATAGTGTTTAACAAGCCAGCTGGCTTATCCTGGTTCTCAGCTGTTCAAAAAAAAAAAAAAAAAAAGAAAAGAATAGAAACAGTCTCAACCAGATTGTCCTCTTCCCCTGTTCCATTCCCTTCTTCCTTCTATCTCCTTCCCCGGCAATATCCAAACAAACTGGCAGACAGGCCAGGGATGTGTGTTGCTTGCTTGAGAGGGTTTCTTTTACTTCAAATCTTTCTTCAGGGAGCAAGACATGAACTGACTAATTGGTATCCACTACTTGTACAGCTTACATAAATGAATTGATGGTATTTAACCAGTTTTTATAAACTTCATCTAGGTCTCTAAATACAGACTTTTTAAATTGCAGCTGTAAATATGAAGTGGTCATCACTCCTGACCTTGGTCAGTGGGGAGGGGAACTGGTATCCTTCGAAGCCTGGTTGTAATTTGTACCCATTTTCTATTTGTGCAAACTCTGTAAATATGTGTTTAAACAAATGTAATATTTTGTACAAGATACACTGGAGAACAAAGGGAACTCAAGACTTTTCCAGCCACATATCACCTGTAAGTAGAAGTCAACTCTGCAGTGCAGCTGCCACCCTTGGCCCCTCTGGCCAGGGCCCCTGTGGCTTCCTGCACACTGGACGGTTGACTGGATGGTAGAGACTGTGATCTGGGAACTTTTTGCTGTACAAATCTGTTAAAAAAAAAAAAAAAAAGTAACTCATTGAATTACCTTGCAGTGGTGTGTTTGATTCTTTTTTAGACTGGCTTCAGCATTGTGCAGTTTAAAAATAAGTAACTTAAGTCACTTAAACTTACATAAATCTTCAATTGTATGAACTATAGCTTTGAGTCCATTTTTTTCCAGTGGTGAAGAATTGGGGGGGGTGGAGAGTGAAGAGGGGGGCGGTGAGTGTGGCGAGCTGGATCACAGGCCCCACACAACCACCTCTACAGGAGACCCGTGGTTTTTTGAAGAGTTTGGCCAGAAATTTCTATCGCCTTTTCCTCTCTCTTGTTCCACCAGGTGGCAGCCAAGTGTCCTCTGACTTCCTTCACTGCATATTAACTAGCCAGACTCAGTTTAAATCACTGGCTTCTAAAACAGGTTGTGCCTTCTTTGGTTGTCATTCTTAATAGATTCATGAAGTTATTTAATCTACTATAGTGATGAGAATGATGTAAGAAATACATCATTATGTATGGGAAGAGATACTGCCTCAATATAATAGCCCCTGCTCTTAAAGAAGGCTCTGGCCACTGCTGCCCAGGCCTACCCCAGTGTCCCGCCCCGCCCCCTACGTTTGAGGCCTCTGGCTGCAGGGCTGTTGAGCTTGAGCTCTAGTCTTTAGAGCGCTAATGTAGCCTGAGGGCCATTCAGATTGGAGGTATTCTCCCCACCGCACAACCACTCCTGGGAGTTCCTCCCAGTTCCAACCCAGCTGGCTTGTTCTCCTTCCTGTCTCCTGGCGGAAGACTGCAGCCCCATGAGCCTGAGCTGTGGCCATTGTCAGGTGCCTATCTTCCCCTCCATCCAGGTTCTCACCTGTGTGGTTAACAGCCTTGGTTTCCCTCATCTGTAAGATGAGATAACCTCATAAGGCAATTTAATCATGGAAATGCCCTCTGCTTCTACAGGGCTTGGTCTCAGGGAGCTCCCCTGCAGTTCTTAGCCACTGTTGGCTTTAAGTCCTGGCAGGAATTGGGTGTGACTTTGGCCAAGTCACCATACACCCAGGTCTAAGCTTTTCCTCTATAATCCAGCATTGCTGGAGCATGAAAAGGTCTATGGAAGCCTTCCGACTAACTTAGGGAATGCGCACAGAGCCTGGTGTGCAGATTGAGCTTTTATCTCCAGGGAACCATTGAGGGGTTTCAAACATTAAAACATGATTCTGGTGCAGGGAAAAGGATGGGTGAGGTGGAAGTGTAGACACGAGAAAAGGATTCTTCTGGGATGGAGCCTGGGGCAGACAAGATGTGATGAAGTCAGGATCCTCCGATAAAACCCCCTGCGCTTTCATGAGTGGGATGGGCTGCTACTCGGGACTCCCAGGCCTTAGAGTCCTACCCTGCAAGGGTGCCTCCATTAAACTCAGTTTGGAATGCCAGAGGAAGAGCAGGTTGGAGGCTGGGGAAGGACTTGTACTCCTCGAATAAATGCTTCTCAGATTGTTACGGGCCTTTGATTAATTTCCAGAGTTCTGAAAACCTTAACTTTTAACCATTTTGCCAGAAATCTCATTGTTCTCAAGGAGGAGCAGATTTATGGAGGTCCTCACTCCATCCCTCCGCAAGTCAGCTGCCTGGGCAAGTGCATTTGAGACACCCTCTTTGAATTACCTGTGGGGCATCCTGTGTTGGTGTGAATTGGAAACTCACAGGAGAAGCCAGTGCTGGTGAGAGATCTGGTAATCTGCCCAGGCTGTAGGGGAGAGAGGTGGCATGCTGGACGCAGGAGGCTGGAGCTTCCACCCTGTTCTCACTGCAGGTGTTGGTGTCAGTACCGCCCCTCTGGTCTCTGGGGCATCACCGTGGAGGATGGGTTCTAGGGTTACTGCTATACCTTGTATAACTTCAGGTAGGCCACTTGTAGACATCAACATCTGTCAGATGATAACTAATGTCAGTTCTAAGATAAAATGAGAGTTGTAGCTAGAGTTAGGGAGTGCTTACTGTATATCAGGTGCTGTCTCTTTTACAGGTAACACTTGAGTCCTTGACACAACCCAGGGAGGCAGGGACTCCGTAGATGAGCAGACCCAAGCGACAGAATATGGTGACTTTGGAAAGTAGTTTGTGGTTAGAGCAGAGCTGAAACTAAACACCAGGCTGCTACCCCAGGCCAGGTGCTCTTCACCACCACCCCTAAAGCAGCATGGATTCATCTTGCCCCAGTCCACATCCCCAAATAAATGCCACAGTGATTAAATGGTCAATCCATGGGAAAGCTTTGGAACTTAGAGTGGGAAAGATACCATGACAGGAGACATCAATGATTTTGCTTTTATGGAAAATTTAAATCTAAGTAACACAAGCTGAGAGACACTCACAGCAGCTAGGGCCGAAGAGTGGACATTTTGAAACTGGCCAGGCGCGGTGGATCGCGCCTGTAATCCCAGCATTTTGGGAGGCTGAGGCGGGTGGATCACTTGAGGCCAGGAGTTCGAAACCAGCCAGGCCAACGTAGCGAAAACCCCATCTCTATTAAAAATACGAGAAAAATTAGGCATGGTGGCACACACCTGTCATCCCAGCTACTTGGGAAGCTGAGACAGGAGAATCACTTGAACCTAGAAGGCGGAAGTTGCAGTGAGCTGAGATCATACCACTGGACTCTAGCCTGGGTGACAGAGCCAGACTGTCTCCAAAAAAAAAAAAAAAAAAAACCTCTAAGTTTCCATTGGGAAATATCATAAAGGATATGGATGGAAAATCTGGGTCTGTTCCTAGACCAGCAATGTCCAATAGAAATATATGAGCCACATCTGTAATTTAAAACTTTCTAGGAGCCACAATTAAAAAGTGCAAAGAAACAGATGAAATTAATTTTTATAATATTTTAAGTCATATCATTTCAGCATATAATGGATATGAAACGTATTAATGAGTTGTTTTATGGTGTTTTTCCCACTCAGTCCAGTGTGCATTTTATACTTCAGCATACCTCTGTTCAGGCTGGCCACATTTCAAGGGCTTGATAGCCACATGTGGCTTGTGGCTACCACGTTGGGACAGTGTAGGCCTAGACTATTGCATTGATCAGCATCACACTGATTCTGACAGCCTTATTTATGTTCTTCCTTATTCAAAAAGTTGTATGTTCTTTTGCACATTTAGTTTTCCAGATGAACTTTAGAATCATTTTGCAGGGAAGGGGACCATACTAAATATTCTATTGGTATTTGAAAATAATGCACACTATTGAGTTGGTATAAAGTTTTAATAATCTAGGAAGTTGGGTGTGTAGAATATTTGAATTTATTGTTTTCCTTTCTTGCCCTCTCCTTCCCTGTGGCTTTTTTTTTTTTTTTTTTAAATACAGGGTCTCAACCTGCTGTCCAAACTGGAGTGCAATGGTGCAGTCAGCTTATTGCAGCCTTGCACTCCCTGGCTCAAGCAATCCTCCCTCCTCAGCCTCCTGAGTAGCTGGGAGCACAGGCGCATGCCACCACACCCAACTCATTTGTTGTTTCATTTTTTTTGTAGAGATGGGGTCTGCCATGTTGCCCAGGCTGGTCTCGATCTCCTGGCCCCAAGCGATCTCCACCGCCTCAGCCCCGCAAAGTGCTGGTATTACAGACACAAGCCACTGCACCCAGTCCTGAAATTTTTGTTGTTATCAGAGCATATATGAGATCTTGTACATCAACACATTTATCTTTTTGTAGTTTAGCTGGGCATCTCTGGTAGACTGGATGTCTCCTTGCCAAAAATTCTGTCTTCCTCACAGTAGGAGGGTACATCCTAGTTTTGTTGGACTCAGGCATGGACTCATCCTGGTCAGTGGAAGAGGGGTAAAGGTGGCACGAGTCACCTAGGCAGATGCCTTGAGCCAGAATGTGGTTCACTTTTCTTCTCCCTCTGCACCAACATCGGCCACATGCCAGGTGGACACCCATCCACCTGCCTGGGTCCCGGTGTGAAGATGACATGGAACAGGGCTGCAGCCGGCCCTCATGGGTGTGTGGTTTGTGAAACATCTCACATGAGCCTCTGAGGTTTGGGGCTTGTGTGTTCCCCATGGCCTGCCATTCTAAGGGCCCACACCTTTCCTCCAAGGGCTCAGTACTCTGGCCGTAGAAGCTGCCAGGGTACCATGTTCTTATGCCTGACTGGGGACAAGCTCACAAGCTCCTCGCCCTCTCTTCTCATCACCCCATCTGTAAACAGTGGGGGTGAATTAGGTGAGTGCTGACATGCTTGCCAGGTTTGACTTTTGACTGATCCGTGAATAAGAGCCTTCCTGAAGATTCCTCTTAATGAGGCTGACTTGTATTTTTACAAAGCAAATCATCTAAGAGAGATCTTGGCTGTTTCTTGCTAGAAACAGGCCCAACTGACATCTGGTGGGGACAGACGGTATTTGAGGAGCCCTGATGCTCTGGGCAAGGAAGGCGGATACCTCCTACCTGGAGCTGGGATGGATTTCTTGTCTTTCCCCGGCCTCCCTGGCTTGGTGACAGGCAGGAGCCCCGACTGCTCCCACTGATTTCTTTCTCTCCATTGAGCGCCTGCATCCTGCTGGGTGCTTCAAAGATGAAACTTGCATTGAGCCTTTAGGGAGCTTCTCTGTTTTGGGAGGGGAGTTTGATGATCTCGATGCAGATGGTGCTTTCCTGAGTGGGTGCCTTCTCCCACTTTCTAATGGGATCCTGGCAATTGCTGATGAGGTAGGAAGGAAACTGACGCTTCAAATCAGCAGAGCCAGACTTGAACCCGGGTCTTCTGCACTCCAGACTCTGTCTTTGCTTGCATGTGATGCCTCTGCTTCTCTTTATGATGGTCCGAGCACCAAATGGACGTATTGACAAGAAGGATGAATGAGGTGACAGGTGGGAGGGCTCCTCTCCAGAGCTGGCCTCCTCCAGGCTTTGAAGGAAGAGGAGGCTGAACAGAGTGGCGTGGCAGGTGAGGGAGAAGCTGAACGGCCAGGGTCATTGCCATGATGGGAGGTACTTCCTGCTGAGATTGGGGCTGGTCCTGTAGATCTGGCTCATGGACACTTGGAAAAGGAGATGGTAAAAGAGCAGGGGCTGGGTGTGATGGCTCACACCTATAATCCCAGCACTTTGGGAGGCCGGGGTGGAAGGATCACTTGAGCCCAGGAGAGCCTGGGC